AATCTGTTTTATAAAAATCATAACCCATGCTCATACGGGTTATTAACATAGCACACATCCAACCACGGTACAAAGTTTGATTCTTAAGATGTATTCGAACAGATGACGCAAGTTGTGCGTTCTCTTGCAATACATGGATATGTTTGCTAGTACTTATATAAGAGATTTGGACCGACATGTGTAAACTTTTGTCTCAAAATGATACTAATCAATCTACCCGCACTTTTAGCACATGATGGTAATTTTTAGAGAGATTTACAAATGTTTTTTTAATAATGTTTAGGATCTATCTTTTTTTCTAGTATGTTTCATGAAGATTAACATGGATTCTTTAAAGCATCCAATTAGTAATACTCACATATTTAAAGGATATATAAGGCAAAAAGAAGTGATTTACTTTTGTTTGGATCCCACCGGCTAACATTTAGCTCAGATGCCAGATGCCAAAAAGGAGGGTGCCTATTCTCAGACGTCAGATGCCAAAAGGAGGGATAAACATGGGTAATAAGTGTTAGATTGATCTCTAATCTTAAATTGGGCCCAACGGTCCAGTTGGGCCTTTGATCCGCGCCCTGATCGGGGGCGCCTAGCCCACTATGCCTGGAGGGCCCCTGTCACACTGCGCAATAAATAGAGGTGGGGGCCGGCGGCTCTGTGTACGAGGTTCGCCTGAGCCGAACTCCCCACCGAAATCCCTAATCCGATCTAGAAGGGGCGCAGCCAGTGACGGGAAGCCACCAGCCGCGCCGCCTCGCTCCACCGACGTCGACGCCTCTTCCCCGAATGTCGCTGCCCGTGCGCAGACTTCACCGACTCCATGGCGGACGCGAGCGGATCCTCCTCCAAGGGCACAGACGGTCAGCCCTTTCCATCCATTCCTCTCCCTCTAGATCTAGTAGTTCAAAGTTCTAGGGTGTGTTCATCATGTTTACAGTAAGATGTACCCGCTAGATCTACGGCTAAAGTCATGTTCTTCTCAACAATAAGAGCCATCGAGGCTAACTGGCGGCTAGAGCCCATTGGCCTTTATTATCCTATAATTAGATCGTGTCTAGGCATTATTAGAGGCAGACCAAGGTTATATAGAGTGACGATACGTGTCGCCACTCAAAATTTGTCAATAACACAAATGAATCACAAGGCTCTTACACACCACCACATATAAGCCTGACTTAATAATCATTTTTAGGGTGCCTCGAGTTATTTTTTTCTCTCTCTATAGATCTGTACCGTCCATTATTACTTGTTTTAACCAAAGACCGTAGCCCTGCTTATATTGAAAGCAACAGAGTTTTGCTGGGACACCAGCTTACACAGTTCAGCTCAAAATGATAACAGACGCAGAACGATATACAATGACAGAGCAGGCGCAAACGACAGACTAAAAAAAGCAAACAAAAGCTAGATAGTTCGAGAATTTAAGAAAGCTTCATGCATTGTCTTGAGATATAACCACCTCTAGACCAACAACACCTCTTATCCAAAACCACCGGACGCGAGCAAACAAGGTTTGACTTTCAACTGGCATTATGAAGCGTCTTCAGATAACTTTGTTCACCAGGCCTTCAGTCCATCTGAGATGGGCTCATCTATACATAATAATAAAGAGGTAAAATTCTAGCCCATCTTTTCGGTCCATCTATTTTTTTTCCGTCTCCCTTTAACTACCGCACAATGAAGAGTTTCTTTCCTCCGAATTTATATATATAACCCGTGTTCAAAAGAGTTAGAATAGCTCTTGTCTAACACAATACAGAGTACGATTCCAAAACGTATTGGATCGTGTATATAATACGCTTCTAGTGATGATACAGAGTCCGATTCTCATAATTGCCCTCGCGTTGGTACGTCGTTTGGACTCCATACGGTTTAGCTGATGCGCACTTAAATCAAATTCCTCCTCAAACACGGCATCTAGGCCAAGCAACATCAACCGACTGCGTGTCCATGTTATACTTATTGCATGTTCATGTTGTACACGTACGTGCAAGCCAGAACAAATTAAACGTGTTTGTGTAGAATTTGGTGGGTATGATATGTAAGTCTCCACATGGGGCTTTATTTACGTAGGTCCTTTTCCATGTAACAGAAGTTTTTTTTTTTTTGTAAAAACATGATTCCAGTCGATCGATACACGTTTAGTACCTAGAATTTAAGCATATACCTATCTTTATTTGTTTTTTTATATTATTGTAGACAGAAGTGTTTCTTCTTCTTTAGTCACTAGGACACACCGTCCGGCTTCCAGGCAAGATGCAAAATTCTAAACACCATATGAATTAGATCGCATAATACGGCGATTAGATAAATTTCCAAGACTCGATTCTATCCCTATACACGAGTTAGAACAACACGTGTCCCAGTTTTGTCAAAAAAAAAAAACAATAACGCGTGTCCAGACATGGTATGGAATCCAATTCCAAGATAGATTGGAATACATGGTACGATTATAGGCACAGTGTTGAGTCTGACTCAAAAAAAAATCGTAATGCATGACATGATTATTGGATAAATCTCCAAGTGTCCCATGCCCAAATGTGTTGAGCATCCGACATGGTATGAAATCTGACTCCAAGACGACTGCACGAAGCAATTGTTGAATAAACTTCCAAGCCACAGTTTGCCCAAGTAACTCCGCATGGTATACTTTCCATTGCAATGCACGGATATATTTGCTAATTTTTATTGTATGGACTAATTTTTAGCCATGGGTCTAAATAGCCTCTGAAGTGGATCAGGGTTGTTGTATGACTGTAGTACGTGTCGAAAAAACGTCACTTGTGACGACGAGGAGAATATATTATTATCCACCAATGAACAGCCATGTCCCACACGTCAGCTAGCAGCGAAATTCCAAGTGAGCTGCATAATAATATGCATGTGTGGGTATATGTGCCCACTTTGTTGTTTGGGGCCTTGTTTAGATACCCTCAAAATTCCAAGTTTTTTCACTCTCTTTATCACATCAATTTTTAGCCGTTTGTATGGAGCATTAAATATAGGTAAAAAAATAACTAATTGTACAGTTTAGTTGGAAATCACGAGATGAATCTTTTGAGCTTAGTTGGTCCACGATTGGACAATATTTACCAAATAAGACGAAAGTGCTACTATTTATCGGGTTGAAATTTTTTCAATCTAAACAAGAGTCAAGAGTTTGGCCTTTCGACGGAAAAGGACCGTCCACGTCCATGTGAATGAATTCATCTCAAAGTGCTTATTTAGTTCTAAAAAGTTTTCTAAAAAGTGCTACAGTAGCTATCATATCAAATCTTACGATACGTGCATAGAGCATTAAATATAGACGAAAAAAAACTAATTGCACAATTTGATTAAAAATTGCGAGACGAACATTTTGAACCTAATTAGTCCATGATTGAACACTAATTACCGAATAAAAACGAAAATACTACCGTAACTAAATTACCAAAAATTCGCGAACTAAACACGCACTAATAGTGATTTCCGGTACAGCACCCAGCGCTAGCAACAAGCCCCACTGCAGATGTGACGTGTACGACCGGTCTTCCTTGATGCTACTAGTAGTATATTTTGTTACTATTATCAGTCGAAGAACAACGCGTGCAGCCTAGCGTTGACAATTCGTTGCCTACTACTAGTACTGTGCTCGGTTTTCGCATGGGCACAAATTTGTTATTTGCGAAACCACGTGCTTCCAATGAATGAGCTAGTTTCTGTGCGCACGAACTTGCAATTCTTGGGCTCATCAATAAGTTTATGAAATATCACCCAGTAGTATGTAGTACACATGAACGTACAGAGACCTATATGTAGTATATACACTCCCTATGTCCCAAAAGAAAATGAAATTTTAGATTTGACCAAGTCAAAATTTTCTCAAGTTTTACTAATAAATTTATAAAATGAGATCAATATTTACATTCCTGAATAGGTTTATCATAAAAATATATTCAATGATTAATATAATAAAATTTAGTTGAAATTATGAACCGATGCAATTTTTTGTATGGATTTGATTGAATTTAGATAAAATGATTCGAGTCCTCGGAAAACAAGAATTGTATTCTTTTCGGGACCGGAGGAGTACGCTTGCTAGAAAAGCCTATAACATATAATAATGCGTGTGTATTTGACTAAGTAGTTTTCTTTCTTTCTTTTTCCATATACTACTAAAAAGCTAATTAAATGCAGATATCCAACCTAATATCATCACCGCTAATTAACGACGCTGCTGCCTGCAATACATACAGTGGCATCTCCAGCTAGCAGCGCGGCTGCCTGCAATACATACAGTGTCGCGAAGTACTACGTACACAGTGACACTCCACTAATTACGCTGCAGTTGTTGAGGAAGCTACAAGCCAGCTAAGATACAGCCCTAGAATAGCAAGCAGTTATGGTGGAGTGGCGATAGATATCACACGAGATTGATGAGCATATGCATATGCTGGCAAGCCGCAAGGGCGGCGCCGCGTGGGCTGGGCTGGGCCAGGGCCAGCAGACGGCCGGCCAGTCATCACCGCTGCCGCTGCAACGACCTCCCTTCCTCCCTCCTCTCTGACGTGGTGACGCCACACGCCCCGGCCCGACCTGGCCCAGGCCCACGCTGAGTCATGCCGGACGCGAGGAGCTGTTCGCTACTTATTAACCGGTTTATCGATTAGAATCTATAATATTTTTCTCTTACGACAAAACAGCTACGCCCACGGAATGCCCAGTCTGCCACCGCCGCCACGTCACGCGGCGCTAGCGGGCAAGGCGCGCACGAGCATATAAGCGGCCCACCCCTTCGTCCCCGAGAGGTTCAGTCAGTTCTCCAGCGACTCGATTTCGATCGATTCCATATCGATCGAGCTAGCTGCAGGAGAAGAGGTCTAGCTTAGCTTAGTTTAATTAGCTCCCAACTAGATCGATCAGTCGATCCATCCATCATCAGATTATTAATTAGGTTATCCATTGACGATTGTAGATCGATCCCATCAGGTTGGTCACATATATATATGGATCATCAGACGATGATGACGATGATGTCGGCGGCGCAGGCGGCGACGTCGCAGCTGCCGCCGGGGTTCCGGTTCCACCCAACGGACGACGAGCTCATCCTGCACTACCTCCGCAACCGCGCCGCGTCGGCGCCGTGCCCCGTCCCCATCATCGCCGACGTCGACATCTACAAGTTCGACCCATGGGACCTCCCGGGTAATAATTTAAGCTACTACCTAGCTAGCGAGCTTATCGCGGCCATGCCTCCGATCATGAACGACAGAGACCTAATGACTTTATTGATGGCATGGCAGCCAAGGCGCTGTACGGCGACGGCCAGTACTACTTCTTCAGCCCACGGGACCGCAAGTACCCGAACGGCATCCGCCCCAACCGCGCCGCGGGGTCCGGCTACTGGAAGGCCACCGGCACCGACAAGGCCATCCACGACGCCGCCACCGGCGAGGCCGTCGGCGTCAAGAAGGCGCTCGTCTTCTACGAGGGCCGCCCGCCTAGGGGCTCCAAGACCAACTGGATCATGCACGAATACCGCCTCGCCTCCGCCGGCGGCTCCACCAGCCCCCTCGCCGCCGCCTATCGTCCGCCTTCCAAGTTCAGGAACGTCTCCATGAGGGTATGTTCAATTGTTCATCGACCTCATTCGTCATCCCATCCATGGTGATCACACACACATGGGCCGCTTTCATTTGATTCGTTCGTAACGACTTGAACAATATTCGTGGGTCACGCCGGTCGCATGCACGCACGCGCGCGCCGGCATATCTTCTCTGTGTGAGGGGGCATGTCGTTGCACCGCCAGTCGCCGTTGGTTTGGTTACCACACTCCGCTGCCTTTCAGGATGACCAAACTGCCCTCACTGACTGAATTCTTCTTCATTCTCCAATCTCCGTGCATCAACCATCAACTGACCAAAAGCGCTATAGCTAGCCCATCAATCATGGCCATCAGCCAAACCAGCGTCACATCTACCGGCAGGCACTAGCTAGCATCCTATCGCCGTGAATGGCAGCTTGCCGGTGCACGCAAATTAAAAAAATGCATGCATTACATTCACACGACTAACGCGTTGACAGCGATGGGCATGACGACACGATGACGCTGACATTGCCTTGTACGTTGTTGCGTGCAGCTGGACGACTGGGTGCTGTGCCGGATCTACGAGAAGTCCAGCCAGGCGTCGCCGATGGTGCCGCCGCTCGCCGACTACGAGCACCTGGACCACGACGAGCCTTCTCCCGGCGGCTGCTTAGACGACTTCTGCACCAGCTTCTACGCCACGCCGGCCATCGGCGGCGGCGGTGCTGCTGCTAGTAGTACTACGACTACTGCTACGCCCGTCATGCAGCACCAGCAGCCTGCCGTGGCGGCGCTGCCGAGGCTCCCCAAGATACCCTCCATCTCCGAGCTGTCGTTGTTGGACGAGTACACGCTCGCGCAGATCTTGGACGGCCCGGCCGAGATAGCCGACCACCACTCCCCGCTCCCCGTGCACCCCTCCCTCAACCAGCTACTGGCCGTCGGCGGCGACGGCTCCGACCTCATGGTCTACTCGACGCCCCCGGCCGCCGCGGCTGGCGGGAAGCGCAAGGCGATGATGATGATGAGCCCGGACGAATGCGCCGCCGGGATGATGATCACCACTGCTGCTGCTGGCCTCCACCACCACCACCACTCTCCAGCGGCCAAGAGGCTCAACGGCGGCTCCTGTCTCGACGCGCCGCAGCCGGCCAGCCGCTTGCCGGCCACGACGTCGTCCGTGCTCGGCGGCGGCCTCAACCATCACATGCTTCCTCAGTTCTAGATACACCTTTTCTACTAGTAGCTGACTTTGTTGGGGGCATATCTTCCATGCATACGACTGCATCAACCATCTACGGAATTGCTAGCAACCTGCGGCGACAAGGAAAGCAAGAGGATTGAGCTCGTGGACTGGATGGGATTGGAGGCCATTAATAAGATGGGTCGTGCTGTGAAGAACAATTGTAGCGGTAGCACTATTGTACTGGAACCAGTATTGAACGAACAGACGACGTTAGGGCATGTCTCTAAGCGTCTCGAATCTATCATACAGATAGGTATAAAGACGGGTCATACAACCTATAGATAGGGGCCTGTCTCTAAGCCGTTTAATGCTTTGCGTGTAGCTAGGATTAACTATAAATAAATTTTTGTACACATTGTGTGGCTATTTGATAGAAAATGTATCAAGAATAAATATGAGTAACATGGTTACAAATTTTTTTTTAAAAAACCATCAATATAATAATTATATTATATATAGTTGCAACGCATTTTGTCTAATTTCCTTTGTTTCCATAGCGTTGCCATATGTGCTCGATTAGATACCTTTGATTCGAGAGAGATGAACTGCACCAAAGCACATTGGGCATGGTGATGACAAATTACATAAAAAGTTTTCTTTAGATCAGTTTTCTTGCTGTTATTACATAAAAAGTTTTACCAACTGGTGATGACAAATTACCATGGTGTTCTTGATCTATCAATCGATGACAAATCTTCATCCATCCAATTGTACTACTCAAACAACAAAGTTTTCAGAGAAGGTTTTTGTGTTTTCAAGGCTTAAACCAGAAGTACAAGATGTACAGATAAGATCATACCATGTAAATTCACTATTACTGAAAATCGAACAGGAAGTGCAAGGTACTGAACGAAGAAAGTCACCTTTCGACCTTTCGTGATTGAAGCAGTTTCAGAACTAAAGACACCAGCCTGTTACTCAAAGGGACATCAAATCAATCTTAGAAATACTATATAATCCTGCAAAGATTGAATGGTTTTCAGCTCTACTGAATTTATTCAACAGTAGCAGTACACACTCACTGTCACATACCTGAAGAACACAACTCATACACAGAAGCAATGAAGTTGGATTGGTAAACCGTCAACTATATTTATTTTATGGAAAATCAAAGAAATCTCTACTCCATTCTCATTTCTATACAATTGTGCTGCCGTTTCCACTTAACATATAGCTAGAAATTCCAGATAACAACTTTTTATTCTTTCTAGATAGCAGATAGCAGTTTCCGTACATTCATATAACATGCAAATAGTTGTACATTCAGATAACAGATAGCTAGAAACTAAACATGCAGAAAATTCAGATGCTGGATAGGTAACAGGATAACAGTTTTCGTTTTTCAATTAGCCAAACAGCATAACTATTTAACTGAAAGTTCACACGTTTAACTGAAGGTTCACACATTTAGATAGTTGCAGTCCACACGTTTAGATAGTTGCAGTTCACACATTTAGATAGTTGCAGTCCACATGTTTAACAGTATGATAGATAAGCCAAGAATGACAGCGGATAACTCATCAGGTAGCTAACTTCAGAAGAATGACATCCTCTTCACAGAACAGTAGGTAACACATCAGGGAATGCTATTTTCTGAACTTCAGAACATATGGTAACTTCAGAACATATTTTCTGAACTTCTGAACTTCAGAACATGCCACCAACTGCCTTCATCTGCAGATCCGATCGACAATCACCTCAGCCTCCTCCTTGGATATGCCTTGATCTTGCTCCCTGCGTCGAAGGCCTCCAGTCGCAGCTCGAAGACGTATACTAGTAGTATATTGTTAGCCGCCGTTACCTGATGAATTCGGCGGATTAAAAAAATGGAGGCTGTGGAAAAGGATGCGGATAGAATGAAATGATTCTCTCGGCTCTCGCTGGTATGAGGTGAGCAACTGAGAACTTATAAAGCTGCCCGGAGAGAGTAAATATATAGGATGAAGCCGTACGTGTGCGCTGCATTGTTAGTGTTTTTCATGTTCAAAAAAATTGCCTTATCATTGAAGCATGTGTGAGCTCGTAGTACAAAATAATGGCACTAAAAATACTCTAATTTCAGACAACGAAGCTACTAGTAGTATACTACAGCACATGATTAATCTCCACTGATTCGTCCCACTAAAATCTATCGATGGATAAATGTATATATATAAAATAAGGAACAAATAAATCATGGTGTGACGTCCGGTGGCACCTGACCGTCATTCAGCTTTAATTTGCTTCCACTTGACACTAACTCCATTTTCAGGTGAGTGGTGACGCTGACACAATGGTTTTTTACTGGACGGAGTTTATCCACATGTCCAGTTTTTCCACACGGTCAGCAGGCACTCACAAAGTCATGGAACGAATTGTGCTTGTTCTACAGCCTGTGCCACACGGTCCAATTCAATTCAGCGTTTTACTTTTACCCCATTGGGTGCTCAGAGTAATTTATACCAGGGAAAATTAGTTCTATAGCACCGAAAGATCACGGTATCCAGAAAATACCATCGAAAATCTGTCCATACGTGAAATAGCATTGAAAGAATGAACCGTTTCTGAGAAATACCATTCCGTTGCGTTTTGAGATAGCTCCGTGAACTCTGCGTCACGGTGGTCACAACCCCAGGCAACCTCGCATTTGCGTTGCGCCGCCTCCCGGCATACGTCGGCCTCATGGCGCTCCTGTTGCCCAGCAACCCAGAGCCACTCGCTCTTTCCGACGTTCCTACACGCCACGACGCTGCTACGGGATCCCTTAATGGGAACCTGGCCTCTCTCCTCGCGCCGTTGCTCGCGCTGCTGTCCGCCTTCTCCCTGGCGCTCTGCTTCTCCCTCGCGACCTGCAGGCCGCCCCCGGCCGAGAGCATCCAGGATGGCGCCCCCTTCCGCGTCCCAGGGTTCCCGGAGAGCATCACGCTCACCGTGGACGAGGTCCCGGTGACACGGTTCTTGTTCGACGACCTCGAGTCATTCTACCTCTCCGCGCCTGGCTAGTTGGCCCGCTGTTCCTCGCCACCGGCGAGTCGCCGAAAGGCAGCGGCGACAAGGACGAGGACCCCGAAGGGTGCCTCGCGTGGCTCGACGAGCGGCGGTTCGGGTCAGTGGTGTAGTCACCGTGGCACATCTCGAGGAGCTCGCGCATGGGCTGGTGGACTCCGGCGGCCTTGGCGAGCGGCGCCTCCATCTCCTCGACGCAGCCGATGTGCGCGTCGGCCTCGTCACGGAGCCTGCGCACGCCGCCGATGACGTGCGCGGGAGCGTGGTGCTCTAGCCAGCGCGTGATATCGATGTCGCAGTCGGTCGGCTCCATCCGGCGGGACAGCTGCGCAGCGCGGTGATGTTCCAGCGCGGGGACGTGTCGGCGTGGTGGGCCAGGTCGAGTGCCTCCTTGACCCGCGCCATGGCGCGAGCTCGCCGAGCTCCCGTACCGAGCACTGGGTGCGCGGGCCGAGGCCCTGGAAGAGCGGCAGCGGCGGCTTGACGCTCCGGCGCAGGCGCTCGGCGGTGGAGCGGTACTGCACCGCGTGCAGCAGCTCCCGCAGGGCCTCGCCGGCCAGCTGCCGGTCATCGCCGTAGCTAGTAGCTCGGACTGAGCTCCTCGTCGACTTCCTCTATCTCTATCGCCGCCCTCGGCTCCTTTTCCTCCTGTCTGTCACCGCGTTCACACGGAAGAGAGGGGTAGAGCTGCTCCCGGTGGGTCTCCCGTCTCCGCCACATATTGACGTACGGATGGCCCCAGCATGCCAAGGAGATCGGTGAGAGGGTGGGAAGAGGATGACGAGTGGGACCGTCCTCTCTCAGTGAAGTGTAGTGAACGTGAGGTGGATGCCGTTGACAACCAGTTAACATAATGCTAGATTTTGGAATGGATTATTACTTTCAATGGTATTTTACGTAACGACAAACTTTCGATGGTATTTTCTGTCTTTCGATGGTAAAGACCCAATTTTCCCTTTATACTACTAGTGTTTGTTTTTACCTCACCCTGTCACCCATGACGGAAGCAACGCAATTGACTCTCTGAACACAGAATAGTTTATCCTTGGTGTTAAACAGACCACAGTAGCACCACTGTACTTTGGTTTACGCAGAAATGTGACACAGGCAAAGTTAGGCAGCTGCCGTGTAGGCAGCCCATGTTTACAGCGTCGTCTAGAGCTGGTAGCTGGAGTGTAAGTGCACAGCCACAGCAACAAGCAGTTCAAGCTCTGTAAGTCTTTTCTGCTGCAACCATGAAAAGGGCAGCGAGTAAACACACATTTTTCCCCCTAGAACACGACTTCACGTGTATTTCATTTAGGGGGAGAATCCGAAAACGTAGTACAAATACGTCCGAAGGCGAGATGCCTAGACCAAGCAACAACCAACCCGCGCTGCACTCAAAGGACTACGTGGAGAACAAATTTTGCGACAAGAAGAGCGAAACGAAGAACACTACGGCGTCGACGCAGCCACCACGAACATCGAGAGCGCTGCGAAGCCCGCAGCGGCCCATTGGTCACCCTCCTCGAGCACCCCTCGTGCTGCCTGAGACACCGTGCTGGGCGCGTTGTCGAAGACGCGGGAGTTACGTTCCTTCCAAAGACGCCAAGAGAGAAGGAGTACCGCCGAGTCGAACCCCTTGCGCATCGCTCTAGGCACCAGACATCTCGCATCCATCCACCAAGCAGAGATCGCCGCCCCCTGGCGCCGGCGTGATCCTTTCCCAACCAATGGGACGCAGGAAACGGTACCAGAGTCCTTGTGCGAAGACACAGGAAGCAAGGAGGTGGTCGACCGTTTCATCTTCCTGACCACATAGGGCACATTCAGCGGAGTCCTGAAGTCCATGCCTCATTCTGCGTTCAGCCATCCAGATACGGCCATGAAGGGCAACCAGAAGAAGAGCTTGAGCTTCGGCGGCGCCGAGGCCCTCCAGAGCTCTTTGGCCCCCAACAGAGATGACATACCAAGGAAAAAGGAGCGGTAAGCCGAGGATACCGAGTAGGAGC